CTGGCAGGATGAGCCAGCCTATATGTAGTGATGGGTGTCCAAACACCCCACAGGAGGGACCGTGGGTCCTTGAAGAGTATATGGAAGCCTCACCACCTTCCTCACTCCGGAACCTGGAGCCCTCTGAGGTTGTGACAACCCACCCCAATTGTGGTCTTGGGAAGGTACGGATTCCATCCACTCGGCTCCTCTCCTCCTTAGTCAGAAACCTTCAGAGGGAAATGGAAAGATGAGAACCACACTACCCTGCCAGCTCTATCTCCTGTCCTTACACACCACACACAGTTCCACATTTTCATTAACCCAGCCAAACCCGCTAACACGACTGGGTGTGTGTGGCAGGGGAAAGAGACTGTTGTCATCTAAAATGGTTGCAGAAAACTTTTGAAACATCTGTAACAAGAACCCCATCCCCTAACCCTGGAGATTCTGTCCAGTGCTGGGTCCAAAGGAAATGCCCACTGACCCCATGCTGGCACCAGTAATGCACTGTGGCCCTGAAGTAAGAAAACCAACATGCCAGGTGAGGTAGCCCTTCTGCAGTCATCCCTGAAGAGGGTGACATGGATTCCTACGGAGCTGTGGAAGAGACCTCTAATTTCATTACCTGAAGTTCAAAAGTCCTTCACCTTTCATCTACCCTGCCCCCAAAGGGATAATCCTCAAATTCAAAGGATCAAAATCCAGAACATTGTAGGAGGAAAAAACCCAAGCCTGCTGGGAACAAGGAAAAGGCAGGCATTGTATGATTGTGGGGAGACCCTTTTCAACATCTGCATTACAGCCCCACCTGACCCGAGTGCCAGGTCGGAAAGCACTACTGAGGGGAGAAGGAGCCTGCCTGCAGATCTACTGACAGAAGCATCCACTGAGGGGGTGTCCCTATGAGACTGAGGAAGAGAAGACAGTCCTTCAAGTCAAAGCAGACCCCACCCCCCAACAAGATGGTAGCAGAAAAAACTCCAATTGTAGACAAACCCCTTTTAAAGCTAGAAGCAGTTCCTCTTGGAACAGGTCTGAGAAATTTCTCCAGAAGATTTCTGGGGAGCAGACTTTGAGGCTTGGGGACCAGTCCAGGAAGAGGTGGTCAGTGTGGTTAAGGCCGACTATGGGCCTATTGAGGACTTCGGTGTAGCATATGTAGTAGGATGTTCGCATGTTAGAGGAACGGGTTAGGGCCAGGAGTTTAGGCTCCAGTACTTGAATGGATGATGTGGACACAATGAGTTGCTGTCTGGGGTTTTGTAGCAGGAAAGGGGCAAAGTCAGAGACCTCTGGGCTGTGACCTGCTCTCTCTTGCTCACCCCCCAAACTCCTCTAGCCAGGTCCTTCCCTCCCAGAACAAGCTCCATCTTGGGAGGAACTAAGCAAGCAGTGGGTTGAGGGAGGTGGCAGTGTCCAGAGTCCCTCTGGCCAGCTCAGGCGAAGGCCTTGCTCAGTCTGGAAGGCCTCTTGTCCAATTCCACAGAGGCCTAACTCTTCAGAAGTGTTCCGGTTGAGGAGCCCAACAGATGGGGTCACAGAATCATTGGTGAAAGCTAAGGGAAGAGTAGAAACTGATCTGAGCTTAAGGTGAAACTTGAAACTGCTATAGATATGAAGGTCAGATGGGAACTCGAAAGAACTGGGCATGAATCCTGAGTGATGGGGAAACTTGAAACCATCACAACCAAGAGGTAGGATTCCATGACAACTACCCCTGAAGTGAGCAGTCCCCAGACTCCTTTGCCCCATTAGGGAAGCCCCACTCACCTAATTTGTCCCCCTGGAGTGAAGAGAGGCCCCACTTTTGAGTGTTGTATGTCAATAACAGTGTTGTGTCACTGGTGGTCACGTTGATTAGTTGAAGAGAATAAAGGGAATAAGATTTCCCAGGTGTTTTCTGTCTTCTCTTTCAATCCTAGAGCAAGCTGAAAGATCTTGCCTTCTCCCAGAGCCCGGGTCCATATATAATCTCAAAAGCTCGGGCCAGCTCCAGGCCACCCTTGCATTCTTTCCCCAAAGGCCCTAAAATCCATACCCTTGGGAGAAAGAGGGAGAAATGTTCTGAGGTGGTGGCAGAGCCAAGCAGCTCTTGTTGATGTCTGGCTTTGGCACCAGCACAACCTGCTGATTGCTGGGTGGCTGCCTGGTGACTGCCTGGCTCAGGTCCAGCTGTGCAGCTTGTGGGCGGCCTCTGTGGCCACAACACCCACACCCTCCCCAGGCTGCCACATGGGAAAGCTTGAAAAATCAAGTTCCAAAAACTGAAGTCTACCTTTTCTGATTCACCTGGATCCCAGGTCCTGGACCTAGCCCAGCCCTTTCTCTGGAGCATGCTTTCTAGACCCTGAAGAGAGGTGGGTAGAGAAGACCTGGCCTGTCATCTCACTCTCAGTATGTTGTCCACAGCCCTCACCACGTGGAGAGGCTGAGTCTCATGGGAAGGCAGCCACTTGTCCAAGATCCATAGCAAGGCAGGGAGGGAAACCAGAATGGCCAGAAGAAGGCTCTATATCCAGTCAAGCCTCTCCCCCATCACTGGGCCTGGCCTGGGCTCCACACTAGGCCAGGCAGGGCTGTTCTGCTCTGCTAATTCCTCAGTGCCCAGCTTACATCTATGCTATCTCCGGGGCCTAAACCTGGCCATGGCCCCCAAGCCTGAGTTCAACACTTGTTCTAACCCATCACCTACCTCTGCCCCAGTCTGCCAGGAGCCTCCTGCTCCAGCCAGGAAGCTGTCTCCCCACCTTTCCTGTACTCCCAGGGCAGGTTCACTGTCTCCTTCCCCTTCCGGAAAGCAAGAGGTAGGGTAGGGTGAAGGAGGGACTTGATTTTCATGGGGAGGAAATGAAGGCTATCCCACATTCTGTGTTCCCAGCCCTAGGGACAATTGAGGTACATCAGAACTAGTCCCACCACAGGAGGATTCCTCAGTAAAGTGAGGAGACTACAGGGAAAGATTAGTGATTCCTTCAGACTTAGCAGAAGGACTGTGGACCCGGACACGGTGCCTTCCACAGCGTAAGGTCGGGAAATTGGCTGGAGGAAGTGACCTAAGAGACAGGAAATAGTATGTGTAGGGGCTGGGGGTGGGATGGGGGATAGAAGGTGCCTAACAGTTGGGTGTGGGTTTAGAATATAGAGGGGTGGGGATTGAAAGAAGGTAGAGAGCCGAGGCCAGAGTGAGGAGCATATTGTTTAAGAAACTTAGAGATAGGGCACCACTGGGGAATTTTTAAGGATAGTGACATGATCTTACTCCCAGACCCCACCCCAAGGTTTGGACTCAGGAAAGAGAACTGGGCTGGAGGATTTGGGCCTTAGCAACTTAGCTGTAGCCATGGCCATGGATAAATATACGGAAGAGTGGCAGAGTAGAAAGTCTAGGAAGAGGACCAGAAGAAAATAGTAAGTATGAGAAAAACCGGGAGTATAGCACCACAGGGCCCAAGGGAAGTTTTGAAGAGTGGTCAATATTAAATGCACTACTGGACCCTGTGGCAAATCAGACTAGCCCTAATTCTGGCTAAAACAGGCACATTTGCCAGGAAGCCAACATCTGCTCAACCCAAGGGGTGAGCCAAGGTCAGTTTTGGCCTGCCTATCCCAAGGAACCCAGGATATCACAGCCACTGAAGTCACTGGGGTTGTGAGAGGTCAAAACTGGCTGGAGGGGCCTGACCAGCCTCTAAAACAGATTCTCCCTGCACTGGGCAAGCTATTGCAAACCAGCGTTTATGGAGAGTTTACTGTCTTCTTCTGGCATCAGTGTTTACTCATGTTACTGAAATTCTGGCATCTTCATCCCGTTCATTTGGGTTTGAACTTGAGTGAGTGGTTTGATGCCTACTTTATTAGGTGTGAGGACTCACAAGGAGTTTTCAGCTCCTCTAGATATGGAGACTGGCCTATGGGAGATTCTTGGGGAGGTGATAATATATAGTAACTTCCATGTATTTAAGAAACCCACATGAGAGTGACTCCTGTGAAAGAGGGTGGCGCTCAGAGTATTGGCTGACCCCAACCCACTCTCCAGCGCCATACTCCTCTTGGAGCCAAGCAGCCTATGATGCAATATGCTACGTTTTCCCCACCCTTGCTATGGCTGTCCCCAGGCCACGCACACTTCTTCAGCAGCTCGATGCCATCTGCAGCGGCGGCCCGTGCCTCCACCTTCAAGTGTGGCGCAGGCAGTCACTGTAGCCCTGCGTCTCTAGTCTGAGCTACTCCAGCAGCTGCAGCTCCTGGGCACAAGGTGGGACCCACAGACAGGCAAGGTTCCAAGACCCTGTGAAGGTACGACTGCCAAGCTGCAAGACAGCGTGGAAGTGGGACTGCTGTTGGGCCCATGGCCACTGCTCTGGCCATGGTCCCGACGCCAGCTCTGGCACCAACCCCCCATCAGTACCAGCCTTACTGCGAGCCCCAGTACAGCTTCAGTGATGGCTCCTAAGACTCCATGACACATTTAACCCAGAAGTACCCCATGACACTCGAAATGGTTCCCGGGGGGACACAGCTAGAAGCATTTAAGAAAGTCACCCACTAAAGTGTCCGATAATCTGTTCGTCCGAGGAGTTGGGGCGGGTTAGGAGTTGGACGTCCCCAGCCTGCAGATTGGACAGTGGTCCAACCCTGCCCAACCAGAAACCGGCTCTCCCCTCCAAGGACCTGGTCTCGCCAGGTACCTATAAGGAACTATATTTCCCAGGATGCAGCTCGGCGTTTCCCAGCAGCTCAGCGGCCAATGACCTTCAGGGCTGTAGCGAGCACGCGCAGAAGGGTCCCGTAGGGTCAGACCTTCCCAGTGGGAAAACAGACTGGCTGGTTCCAAATTAGCCATCAAGATGTTTTCTCCTTGAGGTAGCGTTCCTCTCACAAGTACAGTACAGAATCCCTGCGGCCATCCATGTCTTGGCATCAGCTGGGTGAGTAGACAGGGCAGAGTTGGGACAAGGGTAGCAGCTAAAATGGGGGACCTGTTTGGGGCAGGACACCTAGCTATGCAGACCACACGCTGAAGGTTGGACATTTATTCATAGCACACAGCCTACACATCTCTAGAGCAGGAATTATGGGCCTAAATGGGCCCTTGGCACCTGTCAACTGCTCCACCTTCCAGACCCTGCCTGCTGCCTTCATAGCCCAGTTTGCTTGGGCAGGCAGCAGGGCAAGCATTGTGGGTACAGGCTCAGTCAGAAGCTTTTACCTGGAATGATTGGAAGTTGGCCCATTGTCTAGTCTGACCCTTCCCCCGCTCGGGGAAGTTCTGCCTCCACTGCACTTAAGGCCACCAGGATGAAAACAGGGTCAGGGCTGAGAACCCACTGGAGCCTTGGGAAGCATGAAGTAGGGGTTAGGGCTTGGGAGAGTGTATATATACTGGGAGGGGCCTGATTAGAACAGAAACTGATGATCTTGGTTCAGCATTTCCAAAATAAGGGCAAGGTGACTGCGGCAACCATAGAGTTCTCCAGAGGACGAGGATGGTGCCCCCCACCCCAGTCCCCTAGGACATAAGCACAAGAGCCAGACCAAAGAGCCCAGGGAACTCCACAGAGGCGAAGCCCTGCCCAGGCCCAGAAGGCAGGGAGTGAAGAAAAGTCTCCAGGTCCCCATCTCTGAGCAGGGAGCTGGAGACCTGGCCCACTCCTGGTCCTCACTTGTGGATGTAAGCCTCCTCTTTCATGGGAGGTCACAGCTTGGGGAATTTCCCCTTTAGGACTTCTCTGGAGACAGAGAAGGCTTGGAGTCAGCTCCCAGGGAGCTCAGTTAGAGGGTCTGGGCTTCTTAGGTTCTCATTGCAGATCTTTCCTGCAGGCCAGGAGCCTCAGCTCTAACTGTGGAAAGGTGGAACTGAACTTTGCTGATCCCACTCCCACTAACATGCACTTGGGACCCCAAACCAACTAGACTGGGAGGGACTGGGCCCACAGGGTCCAGAACAAAGGGTAGGGCCACTGGATGTGGGGTGGGCAGGGGCTGGGGGCACAGCTCCCAGGGTCCATGGGTATTCCGAAGTCCCGAGTTATGGGTTTAGCTGATGTAGACACGGTGGAAGTCATGGGCACCAAAGGCTGCGTTGCACTTGGGGCACTTCCTTTGGCGGGCCTCATAGCGGCCCCGTACGCACTCAAAGCAGAAAACGTGGAAGCACTTGGTAAGAACTGCATCCTTCTTGCGGGTGTTACAGCAGGGGCAGGTCAACCGCGCCTGGGGCAGGCAAAGGTATCAGCTTGGGAACAATCCTTACAGTGCCCAAACCCCAAGCTAACAGCAGGAGGTAGTCCTGACTATGCCTTCCTACAGCCAGCTGCATCTAACTCTTCTCATAACCCTGGGAGGCAGGATGCACACTGTCCACATCAGGAAACAGACTCAGAAGCTGGTCTCAAAGTTTCAAAGTAGAGTCTGGATTCTAACCTGGGCAGTGATAGCTAGTGGTCATGTGTTGCCTCCCAAGGCCACTGACCCACAAGGTTCAGCCTGGGCTCCTCTGCCCTTGGCCTTTATCTCTTTCCCCTTTGGCCTTCTGTGAAAAATTCCCCAATCCTGGTTTAAACCAACTGTCTACTTCACCTGCACCTACTAGAGTCAGAGCAACTAGAACTATGCTGTCTCCACCCTCCAGTGGGCCCACCCCTGGTGTTGTCCCAAGACCCTACAGAACATCCCTGGAGTTAATCTCCACTCCTATCCTGAAACCTGACACCTGTCTGCAGGTCTCTCCTCCAAATTCAGGCAGGAATCCCCTCAAATCAGCATTCCCCAACAATCCTCTGCTCTGCCTGAAATCCGGTCCCAGCCCAGCCCATCACCTTCTTCCCCAGCTCTCAGAACCCTATCCATCAGTATTTGACAGGCTCCAAAGTCTGTCTCCTCTTGAGAAATTCTTCCCTTCTCCAACATGGCTGCCTGCAACTGTCTCTGACCCTTTAAGGCCAAACTGTTTCAAAGGTTTACTATTTACTGACCCACCCTCCACCTCTTCAGTTAGTGAGTGTGCTGGTTTTCTGACCTCCACCTCCACCCCTGCTCAAGAACCATTCCCACCCAAACTGCATCTCTCATTGCTCACTTCATTTGCCTTCTTGGCAGCTCTGATTCAGCTTACCCTTCCCTCCCTGAAATTCTTCCCACATCAACTCCCTCTACATCACTCTCCTTCCTCCCAATCCACAGGCTTCTCTTCCTCTGCCCAGCATGTAAGGTTTGAGGTTCCTAAGGGAGAATGATCCCCCTGTCCATTCTCTTACCACAGGCCCTCACTTCCACTTCTGCCTCTGCAGACAACCCCTAAGCCTGTTCTCCAGACCTGCCCTTTTACTGTGAGTGCCTTCCTGGACAGCCTCCTAAGATGCCCTGTAGGCACCTTATTCTCAACATCTTTGAACACTGTCCACCAATCCCTACTCTTCCACATTCTTCCTAATCCTACTAAATACCACTTGTCACCCACCCTGTTTCTCAGGATCTGACAACGCACAATGCTCCCAGCTTGCCGCTCACCACAAAACCCACCTTCTGGCCTCCAAATACAATGTCCAGCTCTGTCCTCCAACATCCGTCTTTTCACTTAGGGCCTCACCTCTTTCCCTCTTGCTAAAATCCTCTTGTCCCCAATTTCTCACAGCCAACTCTGACTCATTCTTCATGTTCTTTTGGATGACATTTGTTCCAGGAAGACTGTTGACCTCCAGGGCTAGTTTAAGGATGTCCCCTGAGTTCCCACAGCCCCTCTAGCTTCTGCCATCACATTGCTCTTCACTCAGAATTATTTTTCTGCCTCTTCCAACACTGTCAATTTCAAGAAATCTGAGACTAGGTCTAGTTCAAAGCCCTCCCACACCTAGCCAGGCTCTCTTCCTGGCTTGCAGTATGTGTACAATTCTCGGTCAGCTGTTTGATTCTCCACATCAGGTTCTGCACACATTTTGCTACCCTACCTTATTTCTGGGGTCCCAAAACTAATGCTTTCACCAACCCCTACCCCAGATTCCTAAATTGATGGGGCACAATGTAGCCCCAGAGCCCCACCTTGTACTCCTTGATCTCCTCCTGGAGGATTTCATCAGCATCTGCATAAACCTCCACCTTCCTTTGCTTCTCCAGCTTGCGCCTCAGCCGTGAGATGTCCTCCTGAAGCAGGACAGGGGCTGGGCTAAGTGTAAGGGTCTGCACCCTGAACCACCTGCCTCCAGCCACACCATTAACACTGGACCACCCTGCCCCCACCATGTGCAAACCTGAGCCCTCTTGAGGTTGAAGCTCTCTTTCTCTCGAGCAGCCCGGCTCTCTGCCAAGCAAGGCTGGATCTCTCGCAGCCGCGTCTGCACATGCTCCAGCTGCACCTTCAGGTCCTCTGCCAGCTGGGCTGCTTCCACAGCCTGAGGTGGGAGAGACAGGGAGGAGAAGCAACATTCTCCTGAGCCTAGGGAGGCAACATAGTCCACAGGTGCTTGTGTCAAATATTCCAGTGATTCTTGCTCTTGGGATCAAGTCCAATATCTTCACTGGAGCTGGTCCCGCTCCCCAACTCCCACCCCCTCCTATTCTCCTTCACTCCCAACACTTTCAGCTCCTTACCTGCATGGTGCCCTCTCCTAACACTGAGCTTTCACAGGGCTTGTCCCTCTGCTACCAGCTCTCCCTACACATACTTTCCTTCTGCAATTCCCTAAGCTCAAATGTCACATAATTTTTTTTTTTACACAGCACCTTAGTTTCCTTCATCATCTTTACTATGATCTGTAATAACACTATTTTACCCGTGGGATTATTGGCTTGCTATCTGTCCCTCAAAACTGGAAGTTCCCACTTCCAATAGGACCCTCTTGTTCCCATGGTCTCCCTAGCACTCAGCACAGGGACTGGTATATAGAGAAAGGACATGTACAATATTGCTTAAATAAACGAATGAACGAATGAAGAAGAAAAAAACCCAATGGGGAAAGAAAATGAAACTGAACATCAATCTTAAGCCTTTACCATAAGCTAGACATGTCTTAGTTTTAATACAACTACGTGACAGGAATCACCACCCCCATTCCACAGTAACCAATGAGTGGTCAGGATGTGGGTCCTGGAGCCAAGGAGAGCTCCACTCTTTTGTGAGCAAGTCAGTTGACCTCTTGAGCCTTAGTTTTGTCATGGATAACAACAAAAACCCTCTCAGGATTACAGTGAGACTGAAATTTGACAAAGTACAAAAAACTCCTCAGCATATGGTCTGGAATGTAGCATTTAAGATGTGAGCCAGCATCCTACATTGCCTTCCCCTCAGGCCCGGCCTCACCTTCCTCTTATTGAGCTCCAGGGCCTGGCTGCGCAGCGTCAGCTCCTTCTCCACACCTCCAAGGCTGCCCTGCAGGGCCCGTTCTTTTTCCTCCAGCTTCTGCACAGTCAGCAGCTGGGCATCCACCTGAGGAGAGGGGTGGAGATTCAGTGCCAGGATGCCCCTGCCTCTGCAGCTCCACCCTACAAGCCCAGGGAGACCATACCTGAGACTTGAGGCCAAGAACCTGCTCACCCAGCTCATCCTTCTCCTCCCGCAGCAGCTTGTGAATCTGGTTGGCCTTGATCCGCTCTGACATCAGCTTAAAGTTGGCATCGTCCTTTTCCCGCAACTGCTGCAGCAGTCGCCCATTTTGCTCCTGCATGTCCTCAAAAGCCTGACCTGTTACATCCATCTCTGACAGCAGAGCCTCCTCCTCCTGTAGTGAGTGAGGACAAGAAGGAATGTGGCAGATGGACAGGATAACCACGGGTAACCAAAGGAAAACGTGGCTGAGCCAAGAAACTACAGAGTAGGACCAGGCCATCTGCTGGACGCACCCAACAGGGGTGAGATAAAGGGAATCCCAACATTCAGAAGTGAGAGGACCACAAGAGGTCGCACCTGCTTGGTGGCACCCAACTTGCGCTGCAGGTGTTCTATCTGTTCCTCTGCCTGCCGAATGCGCCGCAGAGCATCCTCATCTGCAATCTTCTTGCTCTCCCTTCGATCCCTCTCCTCCAATTCCCGGATACGACTCCGTAGCTCATCAACCTAAAGCCACCAGAAAGAGGGAATTCTGTTGTCACAACTTCCTGCTAGTGCAGGGATCTGCTTTGCTCAGAACTCCCTGGAGTAACCTCTCTGCATGTCCTACAGGCCCTACCTGACCTCACCTCGGCCTTGGCCTTGCGTTCAGCTGCCATGAGTTGCACCTTATCCCGCTGCTCCTTGGGCGCTGATTTGTACATGTCCAGCAGTAGCTTCATTTCCTTCTGGCTTTCCTGGGCCTTCCTGGGAGAGGAACAGGAGGAGGACATGGTGAGTAGGGCTGGAGCCACTTGGCAGTGGTGGGAAAGAGACAGGAACAGGGCCTCACTTGAGTTCTGTTCGGAGACCTTTGAGGAGTTCTGACTCCTTCCTCTTGACCTCCTCCACCTTGGCCTTCTCCCGATCAGCTCTTGAGAGTGCAGAGGCTATAGACTGGGATCCCAAGCCAGGCCCTTCCCTCTCCCGAAGCTCCCGTTTGGGCCTGGCCTCAGGTTCTCGTCCACGGGAGGAGGGGCCCTGGGACCCAGGGGTTAAGGCCTGGGCATCTTCCTCAGAGGGGACCAGTTCCTCCTTCTTTGCTGAAGAGGTAGTCACAGTGGCACCAGGCACTGAAGCCATCTCCTTTCTGCCATCGTGGGCAGCAAGAGGGCCTGGCCCACCCTCTTCTTTCCCTGGGGCTGGGGCACTGAGGCCAGAGTCCTCTGAGTGGCCCAGGTTGGGGGCTGAGTGTGTAGAGCCACTGGCCTGGGCCCGAAGCTGCAAAGAACAAGAGATAACAGGGCTAAGGCAGGATGGTACTCATTGGGAGCTTGCCAAGGCTTCTCCCAGGGAGGCCCCTCCTTACCTTGCCAATCTCAGCCTGCACTTCCCGCAGCTTTCGCTTGTATCGCTGGGCATCCCCCTTCAGCTGGTGGTTGTGGTTTTGGAGGCTACTGATCAGGTGACGCATCTCACGGTTGATAGGCCCTAGGGGAGCATCGGGAACTAAGATCAGACTGCCTCCTGGGTTAGGGACCTAACTCCTCGGTGGGGGAATAGGAGGAGCCACAGCCATCACTCCCATTATGAAGGAGAGAAAAACTGAGGCCTTTCCCAGTGTGAGCTCATCAAGGCAAATAATGTAGACCTGAAGGAAATTCACCCAAAAGTAACTTGATACTGCTTTTGTGTTATTTCAGCTACTGTATATTTTTTAATATTTCCAAGTTTTCTTCAAAGAAATACATGTGTAAATTCACAAAAGTCAGTCTACTTCTTTTAGATTTTTAAACACATGTCACCTCAGTTACACACTTCTCTGACCTCCCCATCCAAAATTGCAACACCCTTTCTCCTAACACTTCCTGTCTTCTCTCCCTGATTTATTTTCCTTGGCATATTTGTCACTACCTAAAGTACATTTTATTTTTTCTTCTCTATTGCCCGTCTTCCGCCATTGTAACACTGTGCCACACCAGCAGGAATTCTTTGTTTTGTTTCCTAGTATTATCCCAAAGCCTAGAATCAGGCCTGGCTCATAGGTGGTATGCAATAAATCTTTGCAAAATAATGATTTATCCCAGAGAGACACCAGAAAGGCAGAGAACCACAGATGGGACTGACAGCTCATGTTCTAAGCCTGCTCCATCAGCCATCTCAGCTGGTTATGATCCTCACTGTGCATGCCTTTGAGCCAGGTGGTGTGGTACCTGTTTTCCACAGGGAGATGAGGCTCTATGAAAGGAAAGGTTAAACCTCTGGCATCTGGATAAGCAGTAGCCCCTCACCAGGGCTCACCAATCCCAGATGAGGCCCACCTCCACCCTATCCTCACCACATACCTGCCTGCTCGTTGGCCGCCAAATTCTGTTCAAACTCGATGCGCAGCATCTCATACTCCTTGCGTACCTGGGCCAGCGTGTCCTCCAGCTGTATAACCTCTGTGCGCAGCTTCTTCTGCAGCCCCAACTCATCGCTCTGTGGATTGAGGCACTAAGAATCCATACACTCCTCTGCCCCCTGGCAAGCCTCTCCACCTGAGGCTTTACTGGCTTAAGAATTTATTCCCAAGGACCCCAGGCATGCATACAGGGGCTTGACCCAGGAACACCTTGACCCTCAAGGTCTGGCCCTATCCTCAACCCCCACCCATTCCAGGACTATACCTCCATGTGCTCGATGTGCCTCAGGTGTGAGTTTTTAGTGGCCAGCAGCAATCCTCGGGCCTCGTCCAGCTGGGTCTTTACTTGCAGAGACTCATTGTAAAGCAGTGAGAACTGGGCCTGCAGCATTCGGTACTCCCCTGTCTCCCGTACTACCTCCTCAGGAAGGCTCCGCAGGGCCACCTAAGGGCAGGGATGCCCAAAAGCGATCAACAAGAGGATTCAGGGCTCAGCCCCAACTTGCATTCTCAGGCCCTCCCAGCCCCAAACACAGCCCACCTTGAGACGCTCATTGGTCCGCACAGCCCCCTGAAGTTCAGCCTGTAGTTTCTCCAGCTCTGCCATGCGGCTGTTGGCCAATTCCTGGTTTTCCTCTAACTCTGCATTCAGCATCTCAAACTGTGGAGTGGGAAGGACTGTGGGAATCCGGGCCAAGCCAGCCGGCATGCTTCCTTCACGTAAGCCCCATTCAAGCTCCCTATGTGTAGCAATGATGTATTCTGAAGCCTCAGATAGACCTATAAACACTTTTCTAAGAGCTCCCATACAAGTGGGAAAAACTCAATACTGCATGGTCAATGCCAGAAATCAAGGCTGGTAACTGATAGGCGAGTGAGAGAAGTCTTCCTGGAAGCCCTGAAGAGCAAACTGAAGGAAAGGGAAACAGCGCAGAGTGATCCCCACAGCACCAAGAAAATGTGCAACAACCAAGAGATGAGACAGCAAAGGTAGAACAATGAAACAGTGATTAAAATGCACTGTCTCAGCAAGGCTCTTCTTCAGCCACCCAACTAAGAATTCCAATCGCCTCTAACATTTCCATTTCTCTTTTCTATGATCTTTCTTTGTGGTACTTATAACCAACTGATGTGTTATTTTGCTTGCTTCTTGTCAGTTCTCCCAACTAGAACCTAAGCTCATGACAAGTTTGATATTTGCACTTTCTTCCCAACACAGTGCTTAGGAAGCACTTACTGAACATATTTGTGCGTGAACACAACAAAGAGCAGTACAAGTGACAGAGAAGGGCGTCAGAGACCATAATTGGATGCCTGTCCTTAATTTTGTGGGGAATTTCAAGGATAAAGATTGAGAGGGACTGGGAAGGATGATGCCGGCTTACCTTCTGCATGCTGAGTGTGATCTGGCCCCCCTGAAAGCCTGAGGAGCTCCCAGACACATAGTAGCCAGAGTTCAGCTGTGGAGGTAAGGGAGAGAGGCAGGTAAGTGTGGAAGACAAAACCTTGAGCCCTAAGTACCCAGCCCTGGGCCCTGGCTCCATCTAACATAGCACCCTAGTCTCACCTGCTCCAAGGCCTCTGCCAAGTGCTTATTAAGCTTTTGCTCACGCTTGCGCAGCTTCTCAATGTCCCACTGAAGGTCCTCTACTGTTGTCTCCATTTCCAGCACTTTGGTCTCTGCTGATGTCACTTTATCCTGGAGCTCAGAATACTAGAAATAATGAAAAGAGCAGATGCTTAAATGAGACTTGGTTCTCTGAGACCCTTGGGTGTCCACCTAACCTAAACGTAATCCCACCACCCAAATCCCAACTCCCACCTCCAATGAGATACGGTGGTGCTTCTCCTGTAGCTGGGTGGCCAAGTCCTGAAGTCGCCGGTTCTCACGTCCTAGCTCCCGGGTACGTGCCCGAGCCGCCTCACTGGGGGGCTCAGTGTCCCCTGGGAAGTCAGGGCTCAGGTCAGAGTCAGGTCCAAGGCAAAGGGAAAAAGTACTAACTCATTCTGGAATCTACTATGTGCCCAGTGTGGTTTGATCCACCAGCTGTCTTGCTAGTTTCTCACGACAAACCAGGAATCTTTATCCTCTCTGCACAAAGAAGGAAACCAGCTCAGAAAGGAAAGCCGTCTGCCCAGAATGCCAAGGCTTGCATGACAGAACTACAGCTGGGAGAAGGCCCGTTTTTCTACAAAGCCTGGGAACTTGCTATGTTTTGTGGATCAGTAACTCTCACCAGGATTTATGCAAAGTGCTCCAAAAAAGTCAACCAGCCAAAAGGGGGTGGCTCTACCAGAATCAACAACTTCCCTCACCCATCTTTTTAAAGTTCAACTCCAGAAATCAAAGCTGAAGCCCCCATCTACAACTTAACCCTTTCCCTGAGAACATGGCTGACTTATTCCTTGGGGAATTGTGGCTACCTCTGGGCTAGAGGCATTGAGGAAGGGATGTCAATTTGCAAAGCTGCAAATTGGTATGGACACCTCTGGGGTAGGGGCACAAAGAACTGACCTCGGCTGTATACTCGCTGACAGAGTTCCTCCACCTGGCGCTGTAGGCGGTCTGAGGCCTCTACAACACGGGACACAGCTGCCTTGGAGAACTCCATACGGCCCTGCAGCTGCAGCTCCACCTCCTCACTACTGCTGGCGCCCAGTGCCACCACAAAAGCCAAGGCTGGCTCACTGAGTGGGGGCCGCAGCTGCACTGGCAGGGTCTCTGGGAAGGATGAACAAAGCCTCATGAAGATAACAGCAGCCACATTCCGAACTGAGCCCTTCAATACACGGCTCAATGAATCAACGCAAGGAACACCTATGATCCATTGCTATTCCTATCCTGAAAGCAAAACAACTGAGATTCAAGAGCATTTCCTCAAGGTCACAGAGCTGCCAATCACTTCCTTAGGAAAGCTTCTCTGCCTTCTCAAACTAAATTAGAAACACATACGAGTACACACATGAATTCCTGTTCAGGAGTCCCTATGCTTTTAACTTACGGTTTATAATCACTTCTTTCCTAATGGCAGACGAGTATTTCATTTTGCTTATCTCTGTTTCCTCTGAGTCTAGATCAATGCCTGGTACATAATCCACACTTGATATTAATACTTTTTTTAATTAAATGAATGTCAAAACATGAAATGAACTATGAATGAAGTCATTCAGATTGCGAAGTCTGTATTTTTGCCCATTGTACTATGGTACCCCAAAATTAAATCAATTTTGTGTGCATGTGTGGGAGGGGAGGCGGAGAATTCAGGAGCCTAATACCAAAGGCCCTTCCTTTCCAGAACCTTTCCCAGAATTTAATCTCTGGTCCTACCCCTTAGTTCCGATGTCCCTGGCTCTGTGAGAGGGATCTCATCACGTGTCAGCCCCTCCTGAGTCCCAGTCGCCTCTGTCCCTGAAGACAACTCCCTCTGGTTCTCATGGTGTCGGAGAAGGGCTTCCACAGTTTCATCCAGCTGAAGGGAGAAAGCATCAAAAATGTTATGGATCCCTCAGGTGCTTCCCAGCATGATACTCCTTCCTAAAAGAGGAGTCTGAGGATTGGCAGCTGGATAGAGGCCAGGTCTTGGAAAGCAGAGGGGCATCCACCTGGGCCCAGTAGCGATTGACAATAAGGAGTGTGGCGTCATCCGTGGCCTGCCGCTTTTCCAGCTTCTCAATTCGTTCTCGGAGTTCATCTTCACAAGCCTGTCGCTGTTCCAACCGCTCTGCTAGTTTCTTATTCTTGAACTGCAAAACCTTCAGGTCCATCTCCTCCTACCAAGGAAGCAAAGGACCAAGGAGAAAGTCAAACAGAGCCCAAGACACCAATTACAGCGAAACAGAGGAAAGCAAATGGAATGGGGGGGAAGGGGAGTATCCCCAAACTAACTGCTAATAGGATTTAAAAGAGGCTCAAGACACCCACAGACAGCATCCTGGTTGTAAGGAGGGTCTACTTCTGTCTCTTCCTAACTCTGCAGTCTTTGAGGCACACGCCCTCGAGGAGCCTGTTTTCCTATCTGTAAAGGGAAAGTAGACGACGTGTTCTTCGTTTCTTTCGACAGAGTGACGATCCTGCTAAACTTAGGGTACTGGTAATAAGGTTCCAGCCGATTTGGGTGGGGGACAGTTGACAATTTGGGAAGGCTGAGGCAAGAACCCACGAACCGTGGAAGAGATGCCCCCGAGACGAATGGGCTCTATAAGGGTGGTTGTGGTCTTCTCCTCGCGACTCAACTTCTCTGGGGGCCCCGAGCCCCCGTCGCCGGCGACGCGTTTGTTGCCGGGCCCAGACATGGCCGTGGCGGCAAGGGGAGGCGCAGGGTCTCCCCAAGGGTCGTCAGGCAGGAGTCGGCGGTACTTTCGTCACCTGCAGAAGACAGAGAGCATAGATGCGGACGCGACCAGTACGCTGCAGCTCCAATCCTCCCCCGCACACATCTACACCTGATGCATCCCGCCCCTATCAACCCTGGGCCCCTCACCAGCAGGAGCAGAATCAGCCCAGGGCCGCCATCTTGAACTTCACCGGACGTCACCGGCCTCCCCAGCACAGAGCGCAGCCGCTAAAGGCAGTGCCGGATATGGTGGAACTGCATTTCCTGTTTCTATTGGTCGTGGTCGGTCTCTTGTTTCCGTCCCCCTTTCGTTTCTCCCTGAGTACCTCCTCTTTCTCTCGGTGATTGGCCAGTACACAGTGCCCATGGTAACCGACACCACACTCTCCAGCCTGAGGCCTAAGGACACCGCCTGCCCCCTACTAGCAACTTTAGAGAAGCCTGCGGAAGCGCACTTTCAATTTATTACGCATGCGCATTTCCTTCTCACTGATTGGCGAGCGCGTTACACTTTCTTTTCTCATTCCCGGAGACACTATAGCAACCGCCTGGGTTGAGACCCGCGGCCCCTAGACAGCGTAGATTGGTTGAAGCTTGCATAGCGGGTCAGGCCTTGGAAGGACCTGCCGAGAATCCGTTGTCGCAGAAGTCAGGATAGAGCCTGCGGTGACCCGTGACACTGAGGAGTAACGAGATGATCCATCAGAACTCCAGCCAATTCCAAGGACTGAGAAGTCAGTCTGAGCTTGAACAATTCTCCAAACTGGGGCAGGAACCCAAGAAGGACCTCAGCTCAGTGGATGAACCAGCCACGCGTGAGGGAACAGGTGTGCGGACCGAATCCGGAACCGCGGCATCAGAAGAGAATGAAGACCCTGCAGCCAATTTGTTCCCGGTGAGGGCGAGAAAGAGTAGTCCGCTTATGTATGTTTACAAAGGGCTCCCCGCAGGGCGCCACCCATCTTTATGTTTACTGCTGCTCAAGACGTTTCCTGGGCTGCCTGGTGAAGAGGCGGGTGTGTGACCCCGATTGATAGTATGCTCATTAATAGTAGTATTTGGGGCCTGCTGAAGCCCAGCCCACCCACGTTGCTTGTTCATTGTTAGCCCTTAAAGCCAGAAAGCAATTAAGGATTTCTCAGGTCCCCTGGAGGTTCGCCACGGGCCAGGGGCTAGGGCCCTGGTCCAATCTGCTTTCTCTCCGCAGCCTCCACTGCCCCAGACCCGGATCTGCATGTGGTGAGTGTGAAGAGCCTTGGGAAATAATTATATTTCACGCTTGCATTAGTCCTTTAATGCCTCCCCAGACGTCCTGTCAAACAGCCAGGGCATCCCCATTTTACAGATGAGGAGACTGAGGCCCAGAGATACAATTAACCAAGGTGATTAGAAGCCTGCTTTCCTGCCCCCGCAGTCCAAAGAGCAAGTGTGGGAAGAAGGGAGCCAAAGACTGAGGATGTAAATGGCATATCACAGCTGCCATGGAGCATTGTGCAAATGGGGACACAGAGGCCCACAGGGGAACTTGCCCAAGGTCATACAGCAAGGGAGTGACAGTGCAGAGACAAGAACTCAAGTCTCCTAACACTAGGCTTTATAATGAAGAGAATCATGAGTTCCTTTAGACCACACCAGTATTTACAGATGCAGAATAAGGCCCAGATAGGAAAATGTGTTGCCTAAGGTTACACAGCAAGTTAATGGAAGGGCTGAACCTCAAATCTGGGTCTCCTGGTTCCCAGTCCAGTACTCTAAGCCTGCTATAAGACTAATGCATAAAGGCTGTCAATACCTTTTCTCCTCTTTTCCTATGACAGGAAGTACTTGGACATCCATTCCATGCACAGGCTAGAGAAGACGGCCAACGTTGAGGAGATGAGGGAGTATGGGGGCAGGGACAGAAACAGGGAAGGGAAGATGCATGAGAAAGGCTGAGGAGGGTGGACTGGGAAGGCATGAGGAAAGCCTGGCTCCAAAGCATGTCATACAATAGTGTCAGATAGTGACAGGAGGCTTCTGTCATCACTCATTCCTTTCTCTCTCCCTCTCAAGGGTGCTGGCCAAGCTGCTGGGACTAGGCTGTCCTGAGCAGAGCCTGCGGGATGCCATTACCCTGGACCTGTTCTCTCATGCACTCATCTTCTGCCGCCAGAAGGGCTTCTCACTAGAGCAGACATCAACAGCTTGTGCCCTGCTCCAAGATCTTCACAAGGCCTGTATTGGTAAGAGGAGGAGGCTACCAAGTTTGAGCCCAGGGAAGAGGAAGAGGCTGGTTGGCACAAGTAACCATGGGAGGTAGAAATAGGGAGATTACCATTTGGGGTCTGTCATTACTAGCAGCGTTACCATACACATTATTTCACCTTTGAAATCCTCCATTTTCTTATCTATGAAATAAGAATACTTTATGAGATTTCCCTGAGATATATGTAATATATGTAAATATATGCATAGTACTCAGTAAAGTAACTCTTGCTTTTCTTCCTTTATTTCCAGAACTGGTTTTCTTCAGAATGTTTTTAACAAGAGCTAAAATTATGTATTTTTTGATTTATTGTATGTCACTTCCACTAACATATCCTCTTAAGGGCAGGGGCCTTGTCTGTCTGGTTCAGTGCCAAGACACATCATGGAGGGTACTCAATATTTGAGTGAGTTAATAAAACAAACCAGTACTTAAACCCAGGTCTGTCCACTTCTAGAGTTCATGCTCAGTAAGTAGCTGCTGCCTGAAATGAGTGAACGATTATGAGAGGTAACTCAGTCAAATATCTTGTTTTCCATCCCAGAAACCTCCTTGGGCAATGTGGAGGAATGTTACCGCTACTTCACCAGTCTTCTTTTTTGCCATGGAGTCAGGGTCAGTTCCCCTGAATGGGATCTTCACTCTTCCCCAGATAAACCCTAGCTCAATCTCCTGTTCTCTCACACTCATCTTTCCCTTAAGGCCACAGTAGGCTCTCTCTGCTTCTGGACTACTGAGCAGGAGAAGAGCCCAGAGCTTCAAGAGGTGGTCAGTTCTGTAACTCCCAATCACCCCCACAGCGGCCCCCCTTCAGTATCAACCTTTTTAAGGAGGAACAGCTGCTGGCCCTGGCAGATTATGTGGTCAACACCTACTTCCGCCACTTCAAGCTCTACAAATACGCCTTTACACCCCAGGTACTGGGCCATGGGCTGTAAGAGACCACCCTTCACCTCCTCCTTTCCATCAGGGCAGGTGCCCTCCTCTCAGCTGTCCTCTTCCTCTTCTCAGGTGCGGCTGGATCTGTCTTTGACTTACATGGGGCTACAGTCACCTAAGCTCTGGCCAGAGGATGAGACAAGTAAGGGAGAATGCTGGGGCTGGGCTGGGCTGGGCTGGGGCTGGAGCTCAAGTCTCTTCCTGCTTCTGGCTTGCAGAGAAAGAAAGTGAGGAGGTGGAGGAGCAGCCTGTCACCCTACAAGAAGAGGAACCAGAAACAGTGGTCAAGCCACAGCAAGAGCCAAGTAAGGACCTGGTAGGGTTAAGGCCCCCTGTGACTTTGGGCAGGTGTAAAATGAAGGGTTCAGACCACATCAGGACTTCAGACTTTTTGTTTTAGTCATGGTGTCCTTTCTCCAAATGATTCCTTATGCAGAAGTCCCAGATGACAGATAAAAGTACAGCTGCTTGGGTGAGGCGGGAGCTCCAGAAAAGGATTATAAAACTGATGATAATAATAGCCAGCACTTACATGCTTGGCAAGCCCTCTTTAAAGCATTTTATTTTAAAAAAGATTTTATTTATTTATTTTTTTAATTTTTAATTTTTAGAGAGAAGGGAAGGGGGTGAAAAAGGAGGACACATTGATTGGTTGCCCTTCACGTGCCCCCAACTAGGGACCTGACCGGCCACCCAGGAATGTGCCCTGACTGGGAATTGAGCCGGTGACTTTTTGGTTTGTGGGATGATGCCCAACCCACAGACTTGCACCAGTCAGGGCTGTTTTAAGCATTTTACATATATTAAATCATTTAATCCTCCCTCAATCCTAGTTGCTAGGTGCTATCACTATCCACATCTTACATAGGAGGAAACATAATTCACAAAGCTACTAAGTAGCAATCCAGAAAGTGCCGCCCAGCCTTTCTGCCCACCTGTCTTCTGACGATTCCTGAATTGAAGCAGCATTGCCACCTGTGTAGCCCCAGAGACACCTTGGGAATTGTATTTGCCCAGCTTTGGGCAATCCTTCAGCACCAGAAGCATCTCTCCTGACCTGCCTCTCCCTTTCTGCCCCTGCAGGCCAGATCTCCATCCTTCGAGCCTACATCAAGAACCAGCTCAACAAGGAGCTGGGGCAGCTCCAACAACTGGTGGAGGAGCGGCTCAAAGCCAGTGAGGAAAGGCTCAGCAGCAAGTTGACCACACTAGAGCAGTCCTTCCAACCACCTCCAGGCAAAGGCAAGAATAAGACCAAGTGACCCCCACGTTTGCCCCAATAAAAACCTGGGCCAGACTAGGCCCCATCCCCACCCCCCTCTGGGATTCCCTGTCAAAGCCAGACACCAGACACAGAGCACTGACGCTCCCTGGTGTAGACTTTATTGTGTACACAGCACAGGCAGCACTAACAAGGACAGGCACGACATTCTGAGTGGCTCCTTTCCACCGCAGCTCTGATCTCAAAGTCTTGGCCAGCGGGGGTAGGTGTACAGGGCTGGTCTTTATGATAGTATGATCAGTGGTGGGTCTGGCCAGGTAGTAGGGCCTGAGGCCAGAGCTCAAAGGAGCTGGAATAATAAAAATCCTTCTGGAGAGTCCTGCTTTCTGGGATTCCCCAGGGGCTAATGTGCTAACCCAGTACCAGCATGGCCTCATCCTCGGTGATAGCAGCTGAGTCCCCCTCCTCTTCAGGGCCCATGGTGGGAAATGGTCCAGGGGGCCGGTGCTGGAAGAGGGCCGCCCGGTTCTGCTGCTCCCCCTTCTTCACCCAGTGCCCATAGAGCCGGAAAGCACAGCTGTCAATGAGGCGCCTCACTGGCCGCAGTGCGTAGGGATCCCTCAACAGTGCACTCTTGTTCAGCTGCCGTGCATTATGGATGCTTAAGGCCACTCGTCCAGCAGCCAACACTGTCCACACTGCCACCTGGGAACAGGGAGGAGAGTGTGAGCTCAATGTAGCATCCTCTGAATGGGACAGAGAAATAGGCCCAGACTTGACACTCTCAAGCTTACCCGAAACCGTTGTCGAGGGGTGAGGTTCCAGGGTTGGCTACCTTCACAACGCTCAAAGAAGGGGTGCTGTAGGGCTTGCTCAGCTGTCAGGCGC